GGCACTTCTGACCTCCGGATCTCGAATCGGCGGACTTGGTCCGCTTGGCTGCCGGCTGAGACTGAGCCGGCCGCCGATCCACCCGTTGAGACTCAGCCTCCTCCCTGGCCTGGGTCTCCAACTGAATCTCACACATCCTGGCATTCGCCTGAAGCTCAGCAAAAGTCTGATATGACAAGTTCGATACGAACTCCTGGATATCCCTCCTCAGCACTCCCAAATACCGACTCATCCGAGCCTGCTCTGTGGACACCTGCTCGGGGCAGAACATCACCCTATCATGAAACTTCCGCGTGATCACAGTGACAGAATCATTACCCTGCTTGAGGGTCAAGAACTCCTGAACCAACCGTTCCCTCTCCACCTGGGGAACGTACTCATCTCTGATTATAACAGTAAACCTCTCCCAAGTCACAGCTGAAACCTCTGCCAGAGTGAAGTTCACCGTCACGAACTTCCACCAATCCTTTGCTCCCAGTCGGAGCTGGTTCAAGGCGAACCGTACCCTCAGATGCTCCGGACATGAACTAGTGTAGAAGCATCCCTCGATATCAGCAATCCATCTCATTGCAGCGATCGGATCCTGCGTCCCATCAAACTCAGGTGGATTCGTGTTGCTGAACTCCCGGAACAACAACGAGTCACCTCCCTGTGGTCTATCAGCGGCCACAGCTGCGGTAGCTGCAGCGGCTACGGCCTCAGTCAACGCGGCGTACCGCTCATCAAATGTCTCCATCAGCGTGGTCTTAATAGACCCAAACATCTCCGGAATCTCAGCCCGGATCGCTATAGCTACCTCCTCATGAATCATATGACGAAGCTCCTCATCAGTCACACTACTCGTACCAGGTATGTGGCGTGGTCCAACCATGATGTCTCTGAAATACAACATAAAAATATCAGAGACTCTATCGGGCATAATCGCACTCGATAACGCAGTCCTACTTAGTCTCCGATACCCAGGTATTCTTACTTGGGTTTCCCACTGACCCGGTGTCTTTAGTAGTACGGGCCCAATACTACCAACTACACCGCGTTAGTATTCACCCCAGGTCCTCCGCCCCAAGCCCCGAATCCTGAGTACTCTATTCTTGCCATGCACTAGATACCCTCTCACTCTCAAAGCACCTCATAGAAGCAGGTTTCCCTAGACTAAGGCATCACAAAATCAGGCCACTCTAGTCCTAATATGAATACCTAGTCTACTAGCATGCGTATCATATCATATCATATCTCATAACACATATTGTAAGAGAATTTTGGGGATTTTACCGTTCGGGCGCTGGCTGACCGTACACACTCCTTCTTCTTTGGTTGTTTCAAAATCACTTATCAAATTTTATTGATTTATTAATTAAAATTTTCTCAAATCCCCGGTTTGAGTTCAGTTATGCCCGAAGGTGTACCCGAATCCCTCAAACCAAGGCTTTGATACCAACTTGTAATGACGTAAATTTTGAACCAATTTTTCATTTTTACAAACATCAAAACATCGAGTAATAATTTAAGTTCCAATGTAAACAATATTGTCATGACCGATTACATAACAAAGATCACAAAATAGTTTTCCCCGAGTGTGTGTACGATCACGCCGGCGCCTTCCCACGGTCCTCGCTAGTACCTGAAACACAAAACACAACAACTGTAAGCATAAATGCTTAGTGAGTTCCCCAAAATACAACCTACGCACATACGCCTTTCCAGGCCCTAACCTTCCGGTCCATGTGTCTCAGGGGACTTCCGTCCCGACTGGGTGAACCTTCCGGTCCCACCCACGTCAACCTTACGGTCCATTTTACAACGCCTTCCGGCCCATAACATATCCGCCTTCCGGCCCACATTATAATGCCTTCCAGCCATATCAAGCATATCATACATGGCACATATAACGAATAACTTATCACACATAACACATATATCTCATAGCATAGACGACCTTCCGGTCACACAGTCAAACCCTTCCAGGTACAGTATATTGAGAAGACTCACCTCGTATGTCTCGATAACTCGCGAACCCTGGAAATCACTTGTGCTCAAACCCCCGAGCTATAATCCTCCTATAACATCATATATCTATAATTAATACTTGTACCACTAAGGTTGACCATCCCTATCAAGTCAACACTGGTCAACTTTGGTCAACAGTCAATGGTCAATTTGACCGGACTCGGCGAGTGCACTAGAGCGACTCGGCGAGTCTACGCGTTTTCACCAACTCGCAAGGATTTCCCCTTGACACGTCGAGTACTCCCCTGACTCGACGAGTTCCACCTGGTCATGAATCACGGGGCCACCGCGACTCAACTCGCCGAGCCACAAGGACAACTCGGCGTGTCCCAGCTCGACTCGGTCAACCTGTCAATCCCTCTCTAACTCTCTGTGACTCACTGAGTCACCCATAACTCGGCAGGACTACTCATTGGGTGGTTTTAAGGATAATCTTGAAGCTACTCGTCGAGTCTGTTCTTCAGACTCGGCGAGTCCATGCCATGCATCAGCTAAAACTTGCTTCTGCGGTCAGATCCGTTCCATACACACATAGATCTGGCCTTGCCAAGCTCATTTATCACGTAAAGTCTCAGTCTTGGCCGCCATGCAACACTTACAAGGCTCTTTTTGGGGAAATAACCTCTAATATGGCAACCCTAGTCTCCAACTCAAAAGAATGGACATAAAGCATATCATTTGGGGCCTTCTAGACCTGCTAAGGTCCAGATCTAGGTTCCATACCTCCATGGGACCTTTCACACTTCAAATACAAGTCAAATAAGGCAAGAAGAAACCCTAGATTTGACATATCAACCAAAACACGAAGATTAGCTCTGAAAGTTACCTCAAGAAGCTTCCCTTGATGAAATACAAGCAGATCCAAGCTCCCCAACTCTTCTAGCTTGATCTTCTCCTTCCTTTCTTGCAATAACACACAAATTGGTGAACAAATAGCCTCTTATCTCACTCACAAGGACTCTCAGCTACTTTGGTGCACTCAAGGCTCAAGGTGGCCGCAATGAAGGGCCATAAGGTCCTTTAAATAGGGCTTAGGACCGGAAAATTAAGGTTTCATTAAACAGCGCGGACTCGCCAAGTCCATCCCTTGGATTGTCGAGTCCAGACGCGAACCTTCGTCCAAAACCGCGACCCAACTCGGCGAGTTCGACTTCCAACTCGCCGAGTCCCCTCACAAAATACCAAAAATATGAAATTAAAGATACTTGGAAATCCAGGCTGTTACACCTATTCTCGTACATAAGCAATGGTTGGATTCCATCTACTATGGGATTTCTACTACCCGAACCAAGACAATGGGGGATGGATGGAGAATGATCCAGAAGAAGATATGTAAGAGGACTCAAACCAAGATCCCGATAACAATAACCTACCCGTAGTGGATCCGATCCAAAATCCTAATCCTCGACCGGAATTTCATGGCTCGAGACCTCTATGGGCAACCAACCTGAATAACTCGCAATGGTGAGAAAGGAAGGACAACTATCCACCAAACCATGGAAATTGAAGCAACTATCGGAGTTAATACATTTCGCATCCATCAATTAGAATCCGATCTTAGAGGATTTGTGCATCGTAATGAGATTCTGCTGGAAGAACTGACTACAACACAAGACGAAGTCAGAGGACTTCAAACACATCAAGAAGTGTTTGAGATGCGTATGCTCAAGATGGAGCATCAATTAGCAGAATCAAAGGCTCGTCCGAGCGATTCTGGTCGCGAGTAGTGTTTACACTACAAATCCAAATTTTTGTTGTAAACTAGGACTACAGCTAAAAGGGTTTACTTTCGTTAACTTTTTGTATGTAGACCTGTAGATAAGGTTAAATTTTCCTAACATCATGATGTATCAGACACACACAAATATATATATATATATATATATATATATATATATATATATATATATATAAGAAATTTCGTGGTGCTACACTTCATTATGTAAACCTCCACATTCATAAGTTTATCTACTATTATATAAACTATTTTTATGAAACAAACACAAATCACTGTGTAAGTTAGAACTCAATACATGAGGAATCCAGAATAATCAACCTTATTAACACTCGACTTCCAATCATCAAAGACTTATTGTCTTTCATAATTAATTCTTTGGTAGAAAGATGGCTCCTCATAGATCTAATAGACGAGTCAACAATGCAACGCCGAAACCACCACCACCAACTCCTCAATATGACCCTAATATGGTGTAGGCTGCTATCACCGCAGCAGTAGCAGCTACATAGTCTCAAATAAACTCTAATAGTGCTAGAGGGGCTGGAAGAAGTATAAATCATCTGAACCATGGCACCGGTCATGGTCATGTCAGGGAATGCACCTATAAGGAATTCTCAAACGCAAAGCCGAAGATGTTCAATGGAATTGGAGGAGTCATTGCACTCATGAAATGGTTGAAAAAGACCGAGACGGTCTTCAATATCTGTTCATGCCAGGAAGCAAGCAAATTCAAATATGTTGCTTGTACTTTCTTTGATCGAGCCCTCACCCGGTGGAAGCGCCATGTGAAAGCCCTATCTCTCCCAGTGCTAATTCCATGAGTTGGGAAGACCTCAAGGTCCTGATGCTATAGGAATACTGCCTGAGAGGTGCAATTCAAAAGTTGGAACAGGATTTGTGGAACCTAAGGATGAATGGATCGGACCTAGCCGCTTACACGGTCAGAATCAGCGATTTTTCAGCCTTGTGCCCAGGCATGGTGAACCCGGAACCACAGAAAGTGGAAAAGTATATTTGGGGGTTGGCACCCTGGATCCAATGCATGTCCTAGCTTCTAACCCAGTCACATTCAACAACGCAATGCGCCTGGCACAACCATTAATCGATCATGGGGTGAAACAGGGCACTATCACAGTTGCTGCAGACCCACCAAAGGAAATACTGAGTCAAAGGAAACCTTGTAACAAGATAGGGGGCAAACCTTGCAAGAGAACCTCGGGAAGAAGATTTTGGAGAGGATGACGACGAAGAAGGAATGGACGAGGGATATGAGGAGGAGCCTGAAGTATACGACCCAAACCTAGATCCTGTACCCCGAAAACAATTACAGGGTCCAACTCCCCGCTGGGCTGAAACCCTGAATCTTTGGGGCCAAGAGCAAGGGCAACAGCCTCTTTCTGGAATGTGTATGGAATTCCACGATATCTACGAGGGGAGTCCAGCTAACAGATCCCTCCCTGTCATAGCGGGCCGTATTTCGCACCAAGCTGACCAAGTCTGAATCTCGTACAAGCAGCTTCTGGCAACAAACGCAGTTCCTCAAGTCAAAACTACCTGAATGCAGCAGCTGAACCAAGATCATGACCAGGCTAGGCACAACACCAAAGCCCTTTAAAGGGAGCTATTCACAGCCTTGGTTGACGTCCGGAGACTTCGAAAAAATCAAGCCACCTTAGAATGGCGCCTGACCGAAGCTGAGCGCCAAGTGCTGGAATTCAAAGAATAGAGCCACAACCGCCACGAGTAATGTTTACACTACTTATGTTTTGATGTAGATTAGGTTTATAAGTATGCGTTCGTGTCACGCTTCTTTATGTGTAATTTCAACCCTACGACGAAGTGGATACACTAGTCGAGGGATTTATTTGCTATCGAAACTTGTTTGCATTAAAGGGATGTAGACCTACTACAAGGTCAGATTTTGTCACACCCCCGAACCGTCATACAAACGGCGGAAATGTCCGGCGGTGGGTGACGTCATGCGTAGTATCACAACAATTGCATCATAGTAATCAAAGTAAGCACAACCATTACATTGCATATGAATTTTTACATCTGTTTGAAAAAAATAATTAGTATACATCAATATCTAACAAAAGTAAAAGACGAGACTCCAAAATGCTTCGTCTTTTCCAAAAGCAGGCAAGAGTACCTGTCTATTGTTGTCTTGAGAATGCAAACAATTTTGAAAACGTATCAGCATAAAGCTGGTGAGTTCTCAAGCATGTTTTTATATGGAAAACTAGTCAGTGAATTTGTACAAATGATTTATTTTCATTTTAAGTAAAATATCATTTGTATCGAAACCCTAGTTACCCCCATTATGTAAAATGTATTCCATTTGAAAACCCTGGCTACCACCAGTAAGTAAAGTATGTTATGTAGAAAATCCTAGCTACCACCAGTAAGTAAGCTCTTTTTTGAAAGACCCTGGCTACCGCCAGTAAGTAAAGTGGTCTTATTAATTAAAATAAAACTATTGAAGAATGAAAATCCTGAAAAAAAAGGTTAGTTTATACTATTGTGAGTTCGTATAACCGTGCTAATATGACTGATGACCTCCTTGACGTTCTTCAGGCGTCGTACGTTACAAAATTTGTCACCCCAAGCATGCTTGCCTAACTGTAGCCAATAGTTCAGGTGTGGGATTATCGGTTCGGAATAGATCTATTCACAAATCCTACGCTCTCCCTCCAGGAGACTTTGGCTATACTAAATGTAGAGGATTTACCAATACCCCGAAGGGTACAATGAAGAGATGTTTCACAATCCTGTATTAACTAGCTTATATGTTATTCTATTGTTCTCATTTTGAAATCATTTGTGTACTGTGTAGAGTATAAATAATTATACGCAAAATAATTATTTAGTATAATACCCTTGTTATCTGCATGTAATAATGGATAAACTAAATCTGTCATAGTTTATATGTTCAACCTTGTGCATAGTTTAAATCTGTAAAACTGGTAATGAATTCCCCAAACTATACCTATTATAGTTTGACTGGTTTGTTTTGTTCATGTACTGTCTTGAAAACTATGCAATTATGTTTTAGGAAGCGTCCCTTATGCTCCGCCTATTACAAAAGGGATAATGTATCTAAATGTTTGACATAAAACCGTTGAAATTGCATCAGTTATTAATTTGTGAAAACCTTTATGTTTGGCTTGTATTCCCCCTAAAAACGTTTTAAAACTGTAAAAGTGTAGGGGGTATGAACTCACAGTTTGTTGGGTGCAAAGGATTTTGTAACATCCGAATTTCCCAGGTATCATAATTGATATGTTTATTTTGAGATATGAAGGGGGACTCGACGAGTTGGTGCCAAAACTTGTCGAGTAGGATCGCAACTAATGACTCAGATTAATGGATGGACTCAACGAGTCTACACTGTGGACAGAAATCCTAAATCTATGAGCATGAGCCCTATTTAAAGGCACGTATGGCCTACATTTGCGGCCACACACCCACTTGAGAAACCCTATCGAACTAGAGAGCATAGAGAGTGAGAGAAGGAGCTAATTCTTCACCATTTGTGCATTCTTACAAGAAGGAAGGAGGGGATTTAAAGCTAGGCTGATTAAGGAGCTCAGATCTTCTATCACTTCATCAAAGGTTGTTGTTTAAGGTACGAATCCATGCCTATTTTCGTGTATATAGTAGATCTGATGAATCTAGGGTTTCTTTACCCCTTCTTTAGTTGGGATTTTGAGCATATGGAGTGCCAGTGAGGAAAAGACTTTGGATCCAGACCTTGAAAGGTCCAGAGAGTCCCAACCATCTGGCTTTATGTAGTCCTATGAGAGTTTTGAGTCTAGGTTACCATTTTATGAGTTATTTAATCAAATAGAGCCTTATATGTGATGCATGAACATAAAGATGGGATCTTTACGTGACTTTTGGGTGTTAGAAGGTCATATCTATAAGTTAGAGAAACAGATCTAACCTCAGAAGGTCATTTTGAGCATTTTCATGGAGGAAAATCATCGAGTCCATGAGAGGATTCGGCGAGTCGGATCGTGTTGCTCCGTGATTCGTGATCAATTGTAACCCATCCAGTAAAAGTTTAACTCGACTAGTCGAGTGAGGCCTTAGGAGGATTCAGAGAACACGCATGGACTCACCGAGTCACGCAAGTGCACTCGACAAGTCTGGTTAAGGTGAGACCATTGACTGGAGTTGATTTTCGTTAACATTAATGGTTTGGTCAAGAATTGGACATTCGGACCAGTGGAGGGGTAAAATGGTCTTTTCCCCTTCTAAGAGACTATAGGAAGGGATTAGACTGGCCTTTGAGAATTGTTGTTAATTAGAGGTGAATTATTTTATGTGATTAGGCGTAGGCTAGATCAGTATTTCGAGTTTGAGACTTTTCGAGATTACCCGAGGTGAGTCTTCTCACTATTCATTACCTAGAGTCGTATCTATGTAGAGACCAGAGGGTCTTATGTGTATATGTTTGTTGAGATTTATGTGCATTGCGTTATTTATATCTTATGTGTTATATAGACCGGATCGGAGGGTCCAACGATTTAGACCAGACCATAGGTTCCAATAATATAGACCGGACCGGACGTTCCAACGATACAGACCGGACTAGAGGGTCCAACGAGCTACCAGACTGGAGGGTCCCACTGAGACACATTGACCGGAGGGTCATACCGATTTATAGCCTCGAGTGGCTTATGTGTTGTATGTGGTATTTTGGGGAACTTACTAAGTATTTATGCTTACCGTGTTATGTGATATGTGTTTCTGGTACCGGCGAGGATCGTGAGAAGGCACCAACATGATTTGTACACATTGATAGAATATTATGCAATTATATTGGAGATTCAGGGATATGTCTCTACCAGATAACTTTTGATACATTTGATGTTTTCAGATTTCTTCATGAGATATGTTATGTTTTAAAATTGAAAAATTGTTTTGAAAATTTATGTTGTTACAAATTTGAACCGGAAGATACTCGAGTTGATGTACGTGGTACTTAACGGAATCCTAATATCAATAAATACATATACGTATCTAACTTAGCGATTTTGTTAGATAAAGTGTTAGATAAACACTTGTTTTCGGTTAAGGAATATTACCGGGACTTGGTTGAATCGAGGGAACGGGATTTTCACCACTTAAGAGCTATTTACAGCCGTAAGTAGGAGTTTACGGCCGTGAACTAGGTTTACGGCCATGAATAGGGTTTACGGCCGTGAACTGTCCTTTGAGGGTGTTTACGACCTTTGAAGATTTGAAGGGCTTACGGTCGTAAACTCAAGAACAAGGGTGCTTGATTTCGACGAAAACATGCTCCAGATGCTCCCAAACGGCTCCAAATGACGATTTTGGTTTTTTATAGAAGAAAAGAGGGGTTTTATGTGTTTATGGTCGAGAGAGTTAGAGAGAGAAAGAGGATGTTTCCGGCCAAGAAGGTTCAAATGAGGGTGGGGGTCTTGTATTTATAGGCTGGGGGTATGGTCGGTGGTGGGGTCCACCTAGCACCGACCGCAAACGGGTTTACGGCCGTACACGAGTTTACGGCCGTAAACCCATTTATGACACGAGACATGGAAGACTGGATGGATGTTGCTAAGCTCTTTTGGAAAAAGATGTTTGTATGCTACGAGACCGTTCCTAGCAAGGATCTCGAATGGTCCTATGTATCTTGGATTTAGCTTTCCACTCTTTCCAAAGTGTATCATGCCTTTCTAGGGAGAATCCCTCAACAGAACACGGTCTCCAACCTGGAACTCCAAGGTTTTTCGTCTTTTATCGGCGTAGCTCTATTTTTTTTGTCCCATGAGGCTTTCTGTCGTTCCCGGATTTGTATGATCTTTTTTGTGGTTTCACGAATGATTTCTGGGCCGGTGAGAGTGCTATCAGGGACTTGTCCCTTAGCTAGCTACGTGTCACCCACCTTAGCCAAGCACAAAGGGGATTTGCATATACGGCCATAAAGGGCTTCAAACGGCGCAGCTTGGATGCTGATATGATAGCTATTGTTATAGAGAATTCGACCAAGGGAAAATGGGTGTCCTATGACTTACCGAAGTCGATGACACATGCTCACAACATATCTTTTAAAGTATGGATGGTTCTCTCATTCTATCCATCTATCTGAGGATGGTAAGTTGTGCTCATATCCAACTTAGTTCCAAGAGCTTTCTGTAGTGACTGCCAAAATCTCAAGGTAAACATGTTATCTCGATCGGAGATAATGGACACAGGCACACCGTGTAGTTGGACTATCTCTTGGATGTAGATTCCTATGAGTCTCTCCATTTTGAATGTTTCCTTGATCGGTAGGAAGTGAGCGGATTTTGTCAACCGGTCGACTATTACCCAGATGGTGTCGTACCCACTCGGAGATTTGGGTAATTTGGTAATGAAATCCATGGTAATCCTCTCCCACTTCCATTTAGGTATCTACGCCTGCTGAAGCAAACCCAAGGGGTTTTGATATTCGATCTTCACCTTGGCGCAAGTCAGACACTTGCCCATCAAGGTAGCGATTTTCGCTTTCATGTTTGGCCACCAATATAGTTTATTGAGATCAAGGTACATCTTGTCCAAACCTGGGTGAATGAAGTATCTAGTCTTGTGAGCTTCATTCATGAC